GCAGGAATGATGAGATGAAAAAGTAGACAAAGAAGAGACTATGTTCACATTCGCTCTGTCCCACAAACCATAACCTCTTCCACAGTCACAAGGACCTATTTTCAATGTCAAGGCAATAGCTATAAATGTTAATAATTGCTTTTACCTCTTTCTTTGTAGCTTAGCTTCTTGCCCCATTACCAAAACCATTTAGTTTCTCAGTAATTCATTTTCTACATAATCTCCTTTCATGTCCCATGTTTCCTCTATTGTGTTTCACCTTGGGCAGTACATCATGTAAATAAAGCCTATATCCATAATCGCTTTACTATACTGCTTAAGAGAATTCACTCTTGAAAACTCCATTCCAACCTGTGTCCATTATAGTAGATCTCTTTAGTCCTCATTAGATGGAACAAGAGGGGGAATATTTTAAAAGCTATTTCAGCATCAGTGATGTAACCTTGAGTATCTATTAAAAACTTTTAGATGTATTTAAAGGATGAGCATGAAACAGATGAAGGCATCTGAGAAAGAAGTTCATCATACTGTATTTTGATTTCAAAAATTCTTGCAATGAAATAGTGTTTAAGGCCACATTATAATAGTATGGACAAAAAAATCCAAGAACTTGTATTGAAATATTTTTTCAAATTAGAAATAGAGATTTAACATACTAACAGCCTGGAAAACATGTATTTAAGGCAGAAATAATTGACTTAAGGCAGAAATGATTGAGTTCTGTATTCTTCCAATGAGCAAGAGAACTCCTAGCTTCACACTGTCTGCAATGTGACTATCTCAGAAAGGACAGAAACAAATGATCAAGTATTTGTGTAAAAGAGGTAGTATTTTTAGTTCTGTTTAACGTTTACTGTAATTAAGAGGTGTATATTGTCTTTTTTAAACAAGGTTTGACTTTGAGTTTGATTTTAGGATTCTGTCAAGCTCTTGTGTGTGAAATGAAAATTAGATAGTTCCCTTCTACTTCTCTGAAAGCCAAATGCCTGTGAAAGCTTTTGACACTCTCTCATGTCATCTCATGTTTGTTTGATGTGGTTATTGGTGGTTTTCCATCCTTGGTCTTAAATTTCAGTTTATAACAAATCCAAAGCCCTGCTTCATTGCAGTTTTAGTAGTGATCTGTATTCATGGGAGAAAGCAGGTAGAATCTTGAAATGCTCTCTGTGCTGGGTACTAGATGGGGGTAAAAATACTAGATAACATGCTACCCCAATTTTTTGCATGCACTTAGAGACAGTTAAGGACTTATGAAATTGGTTCCTCTAATGCCTTTTATTACATAAGAGAAAAAAATAAAAATAATAATTGCCTTCCAGCCTAGAAAAAGCCATTAATGTTGTTTTCCTCCCCCTTTTTTTTTTTTCTTTTTGTTCTCAAGCTTCATTCTGACTTGGACAAGGGAGTGGGCACTGTTAAATATACCCTTTCAGGAGATGGTGCTGGCACGGTTTTTACCATTGATGAGACCACAGGAGACATTCATGCCATAAGGAGCCTAGATCGAGAAGAAAAACCTTTCTACACACTCCGGGCTCAGGCTGTGGATGTTGACACCAAGAAACCACTAGAGCCTGAATCAGAGTTCATCATCAAAGTGCAGGACATTAATGATAATGAGCCAAAGTTCCTGGATGGGCCTTATGTTGCCAGTGTCCCAGAAATGTCTCCAGTGGGTGAGTAAGAAGCTTTAAACACTTCATAACTAATTGCCTATTGCTTAATTGTCTCAATGTGAGGAAAGAAAGAGAAGGCTGAAATGAAAATATAACTTCTGAAACTTATAATTAGAAATGTCTTGCTCTGTGCCTAGAACTATAGAGATTACAGTTTTGTTTTAGCTTTATTTGCTTATTTAGAAACTCATTCTCCTGCAAAAGGGTGCTTGTGACTTTAAGTCTCTGAGGACAGGAGGAGAAAAAAAAAAAGATATTCAAGGCAGGTATGCTAAGGTCCAGGGGTTCTGTGTACCCCCAAACCTGTTATTTCACATGATGAAGTGTGTTCCCCTATCTTCCTAGTTAATGTTGACTGTTTGCTGTACAGAATTAGATGGTACAACAGCATTTTGCCATTCACTGTTCTTGTCTTTGTGGCTGTCAAACTCCTACAGCACTGCATGATCCACTAATTATGAATTAGGGGACAATTCTTTATCTAAGCCCTGCTACGCTGTGGGTGCTGAAAGTAACGATTGCCCTCACCTGGCTCTCCACAATGCAAGAACAGGAGTCAGAGAGGCTCAGCAAGACTGTCTCAAGGTCTCAAAAACCTAATGTCCAAGAAAATATTGAGTGCATTGGATTCTTAAGTCAAAAAAAAGAGAAGACTGATGTTGTTTTCCTCCCCCTTTCAAAAAGCTAGTGTACAGGGGAGAGAATAATTTTCTCCAAAGAAAGGTGGACTGTAGTAAGGATGGTGAAGCACTGGAATAGGTTTTTGTTTGAAGAATTTTCACAACACAATAGACATTTGCTGGGAAAGACATAAAGAACATTGATCCTTCTTTGGAGCAGGAGAATACACTAAATGGGCCCTTCAGGTCTCTGCCCAATGGCTGATTCTGCAGTGGTCCTGAGCAGTGTGTTTGCAACACAAGCGCACTGCTTGTGTCCTGCTGCCAGATGGCACTTCGGGCTTCCCTGCGGGCACCAGAATTAATTCATTCTGGGCTAGCAGGCCTTTAACTTCCCAGTGCTAGTTTCAGCTTATTGCCATTTTCTCTCCTAAGCTGTCTTTTCCCAGTACTTCACAAGCCAGTACTAGTCATTTAATACTCCCTGTAGATGCTAACAGTTTCGGAAGGTTTCTGACTCTGAAATGTGCAAAGGGATCCTGTTCCCCCTTCAGCTGTGCAGTTCAGATGGTGATGTTTTGAAAGACAATCTGGGAGGCAACTAGCTATCTATACAAGTTGCTATATGGAATTAATGAGATAGTATTTTAAATTTTGTGATAAAGCATGGTAGAATGTGATAAAATGTGATATAAGTAGACATGTAGAGATGATCACGTTAACCTCATACATGTGTAGAAATGAGTTCACTATAGTCACCCATAGAGGTGTATCTATAGATTCACTGTTTAGGTGCACTATTGTTGTTGCCCCTATAGAGATGCCTAATAATATTACTTACAGTTATATTATTTATAGATGGAAAACATTTGTTACATTGTCAAGTCTATTACTGTGGCAAGTTCAGAATAAAATTTTCTCACCAGTGAATGTACGTTTAGTTGTTAAATTGTTTTTAAGACTTGATCAGAGAGAAATGACCAAAATAACAATGAATAATGCTATTTACATAGTGGAATGCAGTGCATGCATTCATTCTCTCACTCTGTTGCTCTCCCTCCATCTTCCTTTCTTATTTTCACAAATATGTGTGCGCAGCAGCAGACAAAATGCTAACAGTGGTTTTATTTCATGGGAAACTCTCTTCAAGGTGTGCCACGCATTGTGGCTTTTACATTGACTGGGAGTTGCATGACTAAATGAGATGCAACTGAGTGTGCTGTGTCATGCATACAGCATTTTAAAAGAAATGCTTTTCAATTTATTCTCCTTTAGAAAAACAGCAGTAGATGCCATGGCAAAAGTGCATCCTCTTGATCCTCACTTTATTCAGTCACGTGCACTACCTCTAGAAGATTTATTCATAACAGGTTTTATTTTCCTCTATAAGAAAAATAAAAGATGGATGAAAATTGATCAGTAAAGACAAGGCAAGGAAATAGTGCCTTAAATGGAGGCCTAAACTCCAATTAGTGGTTACTAAAGCAGATAACAATTCTGACTGTTGGGTTGTCTTGCAGCAAAAATATCCAGAAATGCCTTCTGTCGCCTGTGATGTGCCAGGAGATTGTGCCTTCTCTGATGTAGGTCTCTCCACTCTCTTGCTCTCTCTTATCAATGCTTTTGCTACCTTATGCAAGCAGAGATTTCTCAGAGGATCTAAAACTACTGCTCCCTATCATCAGTACCATTTAGTTGCACCTACAGAGATGCCTAGACCTACCACTGCCTGAGGCTGACATTGAAAATCACTTTGATTTTTTAGCTGGTGCAGCATATGGTTGTTTTGGCTTAGGCAAAACCCCTGATAAACTGTTCCTCTTATCTATTTTTTTACACTCTCATTTTCTTGTTGCCAGTTTTCAATTCCCAAATGTCCTAAACTTCACTTACTATATTTTTACAACAGTATTTGTTATGAACTGCAGTCATGCGCACTGTTTCCGTTGTAGGAAATGCACTATAACATGACTTTTTTCCCCTCTTGCTAGTTTTTTCTGTGAGCCTGACAAGCTTTTGTCACTAGTGACTTTCTGTCTTTTATTGTTGCATGACACTTGCATGCAAAGGTTTACTCAGTTTGGTAGTTTATCCTAAGGTTATTGGTAATAAGGAGCAAAATGTGGATGCCAGAGTTCATGTTGAAAGGGGAATAGAGGAGTGGAGAAGTAGCTAATAAAGACTTAACACCCAATGTAAACACACAGTATGTATTCCATTTGGACAGTGAAATAAAGTGAATTGTATAAAACTCTCTTGAGGTACCACAGTCTGCAGCCATAAGAGAGGATTGCGTGGGGCTGGGAAGTCCTGGGAAGAAAAGTGTCCTTCAGACCACTTACACACATTTTAGAAATTTTCATGGCTACAGTGTTCTCAGTTTTGTAACATCTCTGACCTTCATACTAATCGCTGTCGCTGAAGCTTTGGTGGCTGAAAAAATGCCGTAGCATTCATCTCCGGAATCAGAATTCCAGTCACAGAGTTATAATAGAATTGCATGTCAATGATAAAGTTGGACCTTGGTGATTTTTTTACTGGAAAAGGTATAAAAAGATGGAAATTTGTAGGGTCCTCAATATCTGGTTTTCTGCACATAGATATGATTTAGACATATCTGTCACATCCAAGTTTTTCACGGTAGATTTTGTAACAACTTTGTTGTGTTATTTTCCATGCATGTTTTAGGTGAATTTTTTTTTCCCTTCAAATCCACTTTGAGGTTCTGTTAAAATTTCTTCTACAATTTCAGTACACCGGGGTTTGTTTGTTTTTCCATCTCATCAATACCACTCCTTAAAAAAGATTATGGTAATGCATATCTTTCAGCTTTTTCTGAAGAAGAGATAATTTTAGCATTGCCATTTTTACTTAGAGGTGCATTCTTTACTGGGAGCCAAATTCTTTCATATGCATTTTACTAAGAAAAAAATGTTAGCAGGATGTTTACTGTGTTCTAAAACTCTAATTTAAGCCCACTACAAACTAGGACGCCTACCTGTTTTATGCCAGAGGCTTGAATGGCCAGCTAGCCTCGCTCCTTCCATACATGCACTGTAATCTGCTCATGTGTGATGGAGAGGACAGTCAATCACAGATATAAAAAAAAAAGATACTCTCTTGAAAAGCCTCTTTTACACCAGTTACCGACTGGTGTAACAGGCAGGCTACTGTACCCATCTATGACTTCCATTATTTCTGTTACTTTCTAAGTGTGCATAGTTTCTGTATTGTTGAGGAAGGATATTGGTACCTCCAAAGTTGACAGTGTATTGCTCACATAATAAATGGGGTGCAGAATACTTTATGGTGAAGAATTTATTTTGGAAAGGACAATGATGTGAAATTCCCTGCAGAGAAACTCAGCAGATGGAGTCAGATTACAACACAGAACTAATACTTTAAGAACGGAGATTGCTATGCTATTATCCTATGCCTAATAAGAGACTTATAAAAGCTTAAGGGCTGGACTCTTAATATATTTTTTTCTGATATTGGGTTGGTTTTATCAATATCTTTATTTGAAAATATTGTATTGATTTAATGTGTTCCAAAATGTAGAACAAACCAGAAATGGAAATTTATGTATGAGGACTGAAAAGGGGGTTGTAATTTCCCCATTTGTAAGTTAGTATTAGCAAAATATGTTGTCCTTAAGTATAATTTAGTCAACTCTGTTGCTGCTTCTGGCAGCTGTGCCAGCTTCTGTTGCAATATAGCTCACGTAAGCATGCAAATATATGGTTAGTTTAAACCAAGGTTATCCCCTTATTAAAGCTATCAGTCCAGATGATTGAGAGTAGGGGCATACCAGCATTAAACACATATTCAGTGAAAGATCTTATTATATATTTTTATATATTTATACATAAAAATGTTTACAGAAATACATCTGCATTTCTCATGCGTTTCTTTCACCAATTGTGCTGATTTTAATTGATCATATGTATTACATGTGACAAATTTATAACTTCTACTGTCACAGTTTACTAATTGTTTTCTACGGTATTTCCATTATTCCTCTATGCTTATACACACACCAGCTAGGGCTGTACTAAACCTATCAATTCCATAACATATAGATTCCATGTGTTCTTTCCTAGGCAATTTCATTTCATACCTTTCCACTAGATTAACTCTTTATTGCTTAGGGGGGCTCTACAAACTCCAGATCACCGTGGCAATTATTCTGCCTTGTTGGTTATTAATTAACAAGTAATAGAATATGTTCACATTAAATAGCTGTATTACTGATTAGGCTTGAATATTCTACTTGAAACTGCCTCAATTGTAACACTACCTTGTAACACTAAAATGGTCAATGATACTGGAAAGTTGGTATCAGGTTATTTTTACTGGGTATCCTCCGTGGTACAAGGC